GCTTCAGAAGAGCCCTTGCTGACACCAGGCGTTTGCACTGTGGTTGCAGACTGTGCTGACTCTGCTCACAAAGCCGTGGGAAAGGAAAAGGAGCCAAACTAATTGACTCCTATAGCATCCATACTGGTTTGCTTAAGTTTTCCTTTTTTTTCCCCTCCTCTAATATCATGTTCCATAAACCTCTTATTACTTCTGAAATGTAAAAAAGCATTAGTCCCAGGGAAACCTTAAAAATGTATTTCCCAGCTACTCCTACTATCCTAGCATCTGAATTGCTGGAAAAAGATGTATTCAATACTCAAAATTGAGGACAGTGCTGAATACGTTAATCACTGTCCCATTATGTGACCTGTTGGAGGTTTATATGCCAGGAAATGTAGTTATTGCCCAGCCTCAAGACATATTTCTCATTTCTTCTTTACTATAGCCACGGGCTTCCCAAAGGACCCAGGACACCCCAAGGGGAACCTTACAATTATCATCTGATCCTTGGAGCGTTTGCAGAGCCCTTTTGTCTTCTTGCTTTTCTGCAGGTTGAGAGCCAATTTGGGAGGTGGGTTGGATCCACACGGACTAGCCAGTTCCTCCAGGCTGCCCTGTGTCCTGAAAAGCCATTTTGGAGATAATTGAGTCATTTGGAGATAATTTAGTCATTTTGGAGATAACTTAGTCGTTTCACACACAGGTTCAAACTGCAAGTTGGGAAGCCAGGACAAAGCAGCTGCATTTATCAGAGAATATTCCAACTAAATCAGATTCAGCAAAGCCAGTTTCCTGCGATGCCAAGTCCTCCAGAGGGAACGTGGGCTGCTTCAGGACAAACAGCAATTGCACAAGGAGCGTTAAATACCTCTCATCAAGCACCTCTCATTTCCCAAATGTGCTTTTTCAAGGACATTGGGGCACCACCACCAGCCATAACGAAGCAGTTCCTAAAGAAATCAAAGTGATACAGCACAAAAACTGAGAAACTCCAAATCCTGGCAGAGCAGCACGGCTGCACGACACCATTCCGACAGGAAAACTGAACTGCAACAACCAAAGCACTTCCACAAAAGGCACACGAGAATTTTGGACAGTTCTGGCCAACGGTTACTGTAGCTTGGTCTGAAGGCCACGCTCCATATGGGCTCCCAGGATCATTTTCCCACCCGTTGTCTGCTTCAGCTCGGCAAATCCAGGACCCTCCTGCTAACAGCACCCGGAGACAGAGAGATCTGCAGCATTTCTGGAAAAATCCCCTGGTGCTGGAGGCAAAACCGAGAGGATTTTTCATATAGCTACAGATCCACATGGAGTATTTATATGAATTTGTAAATTTATGACATGGGCTTGAGCTACTGGGAAGTACGTATTAGTTATTAATAATTACACAGTATTTTTCTAACATTACCCTTAGATCTTTGTATGTAAGGAGGCATTTCCCATGCAATCCTAAAGTGCTATAGAGCCACGAAACTTATTCCCAACCTGAGAGACACAAAACGAAACATTTTTCTCAATTTAGATTCTAAGGAGAATTTCCAAAGCAGCGACTTCAAGTAGGAAAAGTTTGTGCTCATCACTTCCCAAGGGATGACAGCAAATCCAGAATTCTTAGTTAATCGCAAACACTGGGATTTTCACATCCTCCAGAATTCCACTTGCACCACGGAAGGTATTTGAAAAGCCACACGATGAAGCAAAGCAAACACTGCAATCGGATCTCTCTTTCGACACTTCTCCGGGACAGAAGACTACAACAGCATGACAAACTTTGGAAGGTTTATTTTGGCTCTTTCAGAAGTCATTTCAACTGTTTATGTTCACAATAAACCAGGCTCAGAATGTTTTTGTTGTTAGCAAAATGTATCAAGAAGTTGAGTCAATAAGGGAGAGGGAGTAATAGCTCTGGTTCTTGTGTGAGGAAACAGAAGTCTAAGAGAATGGCAGCAAATTAGTTGAAGAAATAAACTGATTGGAAGCATGGGCATGAGTTAGTACAATTATACAAGTGAAACAGTCCTTGTGCCTGCAAGTCATTAAGCAGTTTGTGCACACTTTACATACTTGTGTTTCACCTACTTCATGCTAAATACCAAACACAGCCCAACAGACTTACGAAAGACCCACTCAGGGGCACATGGGCAAGTGGAAGAGACAAGTAGATGCGTCAATTAATTCTTTTTGCCCATTTTTATAGTAACTTGTGTCTCATCTCTGGCAGCTACATCAAATGGCAGAGGTTTTGAGCACACTGCTGCCTGGTGCTGCTGCATGAAACTTCTCAGCAGGAGAATGCAACATGAAAACACCTCACTAGTACCTCAGATCTTCACATTTCAGGTGTCTTCTCTACAGCAGTACCTTTTACAGAGATACTTCCCAGAGTGCAAACCCTGAACAGGTTGGTCAGTGCTAGGCACTGCACTGTAATAATGACAAAAACATACCTAAGGACAAGGTAGCATAGAACAGCAGGAAACCTAATGGAAAAGTAGCATCAACTTGGCACTGGAGTCAAAGAATATTGCAGAACTGAACCCCAGGACAAGGAAGGGAAACAGACTGACTGGTGATGAACATGTAGTAAAATTATGAATATACAAAGAACAATCTGTTCTGACAACCTTGATATCTAATCAGAAAGTGAATGGAGAAACACCACAGGCCCAAACAGCATCAAGGCTGCGTCGTTCTTGAATATACCCAGAATCAGTCCCCTAGCTCTGGGGATCAATAGCATGAATGTTAACAACAGCTAAGAGAAAAGTACCATTACTTCCTTCTCAGTTGGAAAAAAGTGAGGCCCATTAGCTCTGTAACCATAAAATGCACTAAAGACAGGTAGAAAGGGGGTAATTCCTTATTTTCATACTATTAGCACCATAAACCAAGCAACATTAACCTTTCATCTTCACACACACACAAAAAATACCTCACAGGTTCTGAAAGCTCCCAAGAATTATTTCTTTTGTCTTGATACAGTGGCACAGCCAGGGAAGGTATCATTACTTTTAGAATGAGTACTATTATTTCTTTGATAATGCTTCTGCAGATTCTGCACTTCTGATCACTGTGGCAATGTCTGCAAAGGTTAACATACCTTTTCTTGCTGGCAGAAGCTGCACTGAATATAGGGTAGACAACAGCAGTTGAAGAGAATTCTGGAAAAGATTAGTAAAGTTATCGTGGTTTAAAATAATTTTTAGTTACAGAACATACGGATATACGAAAACAGAAATTTAGGAATCAATGAGACTTTGATATGAGACACAATGATGAAACCCCAGACTCCTGTATATAACAACTCATGAAAACAACAATATTTTATTATATTATGGTGTCAACAACTTCCTGGTACGTGACTGACACCCAAGAAAAGTTACCTGCAATCCACTTCATTGATCAGGTTATCCTACACTTTACCTTCTCACACTGGAATTCTGGACAATTATATCAACCAGGAAACCCTGCTGCAATAGGGTAGTGTTTCCTTGGCTATTTATAAATTATTACAATAAATAACAGTAAATCAGGCATAGGTTTCCACTCCTATTTTCCATCTCTTTGGCTCAAACTGCCTTTCTTCATCCTGGAGAAGGTGGAAAAAAGCACGGACTCGAGCTAGGTTGCAGTGTACAAGATGCACGTCTGGGGATAATTTTGCAAAAGTGGTAAGGAAAGACAAGGAAATTATTAGTTAGCAATATTTTCCCTCCAAGGACAGAAAGCTTAGTCGCTGGCTGCTTGCTGCTCTTGTAATATTTTGACTGCACATAGACAAAGATTCCTTAGTAACAACAGCAAACACGTACATAAGCAAAAAAAGATAGTCCTAACAGCCTCCTAAAAACATACCATAACATCAAACCAGTTGTTTTTAGGAAATAGGATACCCCCAAAATGTCTCTTGATAATATCACAAATGGAACAGGAGTCTTGAGGATACTAACACTTGACAAAAAGCATAAGACTTCATGTAAATGCAGGATGTTACCGGGCCCAGACAGCACTTGGAACAGTGACAGAAAGTGTTGTTCAACAGGACGATGGTGTCAGAGCTTCAGGAATGGAATGAGGAGAGTTTTTCCTGACAGATTAGGCCGTAGTGATTGAAATTCCACAGACAAATCCATGTAAATATTGAACAGGACAGCTCGGGAACAGCTACAGGTGGAGAAAATGAGGGAGTCTTGCAGTGAAGAGGTGGAGATAACGGAAAGAAATGTGGCTGGCAGCAACAGGGTAAATGACTCCTCGGAACAAGAGGAGGAAGTTCGGCAGAGAAACAGTGACCTTCAAGAAAATAAACTTCACCGAGTTCCAAAGAAATCGGATAAATCAGTTCCCATGGGAAGCAAGTCTAAAGGGGGAAAAAAAAAGTGAAGGAGTGCTGGCAACTTCTCAAGAAAATGATTAAGACCAGATGTACAATTTACCCTAGCATGGAAGAAGAGAATTAAGAGGTAATTATGGCTAAATCATAAGTTCTTCACCAGCTGAGAAGTGAGGAAGCACATGGGGAAGAGAAATTCAGGGAGAACACAGCAACAACATGAAGGATTGGAATCAGAAATGCCAAAACACAGTGAGCTGCACCTAGAAAGGCCACAGCAGCAAGAAAGCAGTCTGTAATAGGAAGAAGACCACCAAGCCTCTCTCCAGAGGGGAAGGCTAAGGGGAGGGAACACTAAAACAGTTGATAAAGTAAGACAAAAATATTTAATGCCTTTTTCAGTTCTGTCATCAATAAAATACTTAGCTGTGATCAGCTGTGATTGTGTTATCATAGCTAATACACAAAGGAGGGTATCAACTTGGACTGGCCTAAAGAAAGATGTAAAGAGAACAATGAAACAAACAGTTTAATATTAGTTAAGATTAAATTAACCCCAGGCTTCTGAGGGAATTTGGAGAACACATAAAGGTTAAAATATTACTTATCTTTAAAGGAGGAAAAACGGAGAAAACAGGAAATGGGTGAGCATCAGGAATAAACAATTTAATGAATTGCCTTGTCCCCTACTCTTGCCCCTGCGAGTAGGGGCAAGATAAGCTCAGTCTGAACAGGAAAAAAAAAAATGAAACAGATCCCTAAAAAATACAAATCACAACTTAAAAGGAAACCTAAAAGAACCAAGCTAACTTAGCCTGGGGAGAAATTAATGTGGAGAGATTTAATAAGTTTTAAATATTATAAGTATTATCACTTCTCAAATCCCCCTGGGAGTGAGGTAACTGGAAAGGTAAAGGGGAAAGATAGGTTAGATATTAGGATAAATATAAATATACGTATGGTTCAACATTTAAACAGATTTGTCAGGGAGACTGTGGAATCTCAGTCGTTACTGCCCAGCCTATCAGAAAAAAAGAAAAATCTGTATCTTAATAGTTGGTCCTGTTGGGGAGAAGATAATCTAAGGCTTTAAATCCCTTAAAATCCTTTCCACTTGATTTTCCTACAGCAACAAGAGGCACTCGCCAAGTCACACACGATCAGACTCACCTTTCTTGGTCCCCTTACGTGGAGACTGGCTTGAAGGAACAACCTCCTGATCATCTGAATCACAGACTACGATTTCATCAGAATCCTAGAAATTAAGGCACAGTTTTAGAGCTAAAAGAAAACTCTGCGTGTGATTTTGAAGAGTGAATCAAATATAGTTCAGGTGTGTTCTTCAGAATAGTTAAACAGCATTAAAAAGTGTTACTACTGGTTGTATTTTTCAACAGCAAACCAGTCTTAGTTGACTACCCATCGTTATTAATGTAGTAACTCCATGGTGAATTGATTCGCTTGCCATTGCCTCTTAGTAAACCTTCCCCCCAAAAAATAAAAACTAAAACTAAAAAAATCTTAGAAATACGTGTTGTTATTACTTCCCCAGTTTAGCATTTCTGGGGCCCTGCTTCATTTTCTGCCTAGAACTATGCATCTTCAAAGCTTTTGGAAGCCTCCAGCAAATATTCAATAAAAATGAAAGCTTGCCAAGTTGATTTTGCCTTAAATGCTGTTTTTGGGTTTTTTTTTTTTTTTGCATGTGACTAATATTTCCTATCTCATCAGGAACCCAGTGAGTCATTATATAAAAGCAACTAGCTCTGCCATGAACTGAGACTAGATTGGGTTATATCGATTTTGCCATTTTGCAATAGCAGAGTCACTGTATTTTTTTGGTGCACTCTTCTTGCGATTATCCTCCCAGAAATAGTTTGCCAATGCAAAAGCAGCCGCAGCAGACCCAAATATTTTCAAATTGTAGTTTGTTTTACTGCGTGTGCAAGATGAGGTTGCACAAGCCAACATTTGTCTTCTATTAACGCTGCACTGTAAAAGCAAATTCATAATCAGATCAGGCACGCGAGAGGTTGCTCATACAGTGCAGGTGAACAAAGCGGGCCATAAATTTTCCTTTATTGAGCTAATGCAGGAATATTAGTCCTGTACATATTAGTCCTATAAAAAAATCCTTCCCACCTTTTCACTGTTTCTTCTCAATGCCAAATATGAACTACTACTAATGTATTCCCATGTCCCTTCCTACTTCCAGACATTTTAGATGCCAGAATGCAACAGCGAAATATGGCATTAAAAGTAATTGAAATACTATGAAAAGCTGTTCCCATTTTGTGTTTTAGAGCTACGCTCATTCCAGGGCCACCCTTACCTTTCACACTGAGGCACCAAGTTAGAAAGCAACATCCACATCCCAAACTAAACAATTCTCTAGCAAATCATAAAATTAAAAGTGAGGTCTGCCAAGAATTAAATGGTTGGCAATGAGCTAGACTCATTTCTAAGCTTAACCATTCCAACACTGCTGGATTTGCAAAAGAATTAAAAGTATGTTTAAAAATATATATGCTCTCGCCTCTTTTTTTTTTCCCCAATAACTATTTTGACAGAGGTTTCCTAAAAAGGAAGAGGATCCCAGAAAACCACTTGGAACGTAAAAATAAATAAAAAAATTGCTTGTCCTTCTTTAATAATACACTAAGATTGAAATTCTTCTGGTCTGTATGACCAACTCGGTAAACTCATTATTGAAAACTGGTTTTAGCCTCGCTTCCCTGGTTAAGGGCACTGCAGAACTAGCACACGTGGTTTCTAACAAGAAAACAATTGCAGATTTCTGCTCTGCAGAAAACAGCAGATCAAAACCTGGGAACATCCCTCAAATTATTGCAGAGGCTGTGCCAGTAAACAAAATTCTTATGATGCAGAAGAAATCTCTAAATAAAGATCAATTTTGCTTTCACTGATCAGCTGCTTCACTTGTTGAGAGGCTTAAGGCTAGGAAAAGGTAAAGGGCAGGGGCTCTTCAGGGAATGTTGAAGCAGAGTTCTTGAGAGCTCTCTCTCCCTCCAATTTTGAGGAAATATCTATTTTTCTTTTGGAAAAAAAGAAGACTTTTTTAAAAATTGTTTTCCAGCTTTGCTCTTGATGGTGGAAAAAACAATAAAAAATACAGATTAGTTTTTGCAAAACACCACCCCAAAAGCTTTCCTTCCAGCTATCACAAATGGAGTATTTCACTGTGCTGTTCAGTAGCGATAGAGAGGGATGACAGCAAGAAGTTGCTAGAGGTTTGCTACAGTTTTATGCCTTCATAAGGCAGGAACGAATCTGTTGAAGTTTTCCTAGGCCAAAATCACCAACACGTAGCCCTGCATGCTGAAGGACATGAGTTATTCTGCCTGCTGAGCCAGCTCAGTGCACGGCACCCAAAAAGCTGCACCCTCCTCGGTCATTCCTCTACCTACCACGTTCTCTGCATCAGTAGCTTCCCCAGCAGGAGGTTTTGAGGTGCAAAACTGAGCCTGGGCAGGGCTTCTGCTGCTGCTTTGCTGTGGAGATGCCTTTCCTTCCCCAATGGCACCTCTCTCTTCATTTTTGAGGCTTGTAAATTCCTCCCTGGGTTCTTTTTCCTTCTTCTGAGGCACCGAAATCCTTCTCAATGCACTTCCAGCTTCAGGATTTTTGTGTGTGTCCCCTGAATTAGGCTGATTAGCTGTTGGCAATGCGGGCTGATCCTTTCCTTGTGGGGTCGCGGGGAGACTCTGGGGGGCCTTGTGGTCTACGGGTAGTTTTTTAGAACCAGAATGTGATTTCTTTCTGGCCGTAAAGAACGCTGCTCCTGACTGGAGTTTCAGAGCGGGTTTAACTGTCATGCTCAGGACTCGGAAAGGCGCATCCATTTTCTTTTTAATTAGGGAATTCGCGTTCTCTTTCTCTGCGCTGGCTTTAGCAGGTGCTATATCTCCCTTAGCCTTCTTAAGCTTTTTGGGAGGAGCTTTGCCCTGTCTGGAATTTGCGGTACGCTTGGCTGGTCTTGAGCTTATGTGCCTGCTGAAGTTCACCTGGGTCTTCTCAGTCCTACTGGCAGCTGGGAGATTTTCATTGTTTTTCCTCTCGCTGAGAAAGAAGTTCTCATTCAATTGCTTCCTCTCAAGAGGAGTGAGGTATTGCTTTTCCTTCCTGTAAAAGGACATCACAGGCACCACAGGCTTGTACGAGGCAGCAGCTTTTGGGGATAGATTGGAATCCGAGAACTCCCTGGATGCAGCTGTGGGGACACTGGCTGTCTGGAGGGGGGATCTGTCCAGCTTCCTTGACAGTGGAGATTTTGGGGGAACAGCCTCATTTTCTTTTTGATCATCACTGGAGCTAGATGACCAATTTATCTGAGAAGCAGACCAATGACTTCTCGATTTCTTGAGTGGAGACAGATCTTCAGCAAAGTCTACAATGAGTCTTTTCACTGGAGTCGCAAATACTAAGGATCCACTACAAGAAAAAAAAAAAAAGAAAGAAAAAAAAAGATTAAAATGCCATCTATGCTATGGGAAACCTTCCAGTAACCACTTTGCTTAAATAATACCGAAGCTTAGTTCAATATAGTTTCCTCTATTTGTAGAGACCCTGTAACCAACAGGAACAGGGATCAACACAGGAATTGGTAAGAATTTCTTGCCATTCAGGCCATTTCTTTTTTAAAGAACTGATCTATTTTCCTGCCTAAACATCATAAAGTGCAGGGAAACAAGAGCCATTTCATTTTCTGGAATGCTGCTGGCATAGTCAGTGCTGAAGCAGAAGAAATGCTTGATACGTTTCAGACTAACCCCATCAAATGAGATTTGTGCATCTGTAAAAGATTCCTTTTCCTCTCCCTTCCCCATCTGTATGATTGATAAAGTGGGAGGAAAAAAAAAAAAAAAGAAAAACCAGATTCCCACATTTTTTAATATCATTTTCCAAAAAGGCAAAAGCCTTATACCACTCTAATGGCTATGTGAGAAGCTAAGTTTGTCAGTTCCTCACTAAAATTATCTGAGCCGACTGGCCAAAAATATGTAGATATATACAGTTTATATAAAGGACACATGGAGCTGTTCTTCTTCCTGCCGTGACTTATTACATATGATTGTTTGGTTCCTAACTGAGCGAGGTGTTTCTTCAGCAAGGACCAAAGCAGCGCTCACTTTCCCAAGTATGTGTCATTCTCATTCACAGATCAAACCTCACTCTTGGTCTCCACCCAGAAATATTTTTGTGGGGGAAATACAGGGCAAACATGAGAAATATCTGTTCAGCTAGTGGTTTTGAAAGAACAAAAAACAAGCTATTCTTTGAGATTTAAAACTTTTTTTGTTGTTTTATTCACGGACAACGGCTCCTCCTTTAGCAGATTTAGGGTAAAAATAATAGATACTTTTTTATTTGTGCACACGTGCACATGTTTATGTGTATATATACAAATAAAGGATATCTTCTTTCTATTAACACTTGAGGAATATTCAGACAATCTGTGCAGTTTTATGTATTTCTCAACTGTATATCAAAAGCTTTCCATGTAGGATTTTCTTCTTCTGAAATACTACTGCGAAGAAATGCAAATGCCAGGGGTTTTATTTCTTAAGTTTCTTAGTTAATAACCACTCTCTACTGTTTCTGTGACCTGCTTAGGACTAGGGCTATGAGCAAGTGTCGTGTATATAGAGATGCACTTTATAAAGGTGACTATCAAAACTAGGTAACTTTCTTTTCTTTAAAATAAAAAGAAAAAAATAAAAGAAAAAAATCTCCAATGTACTAGTTCAAAATAGTAATCTAGGCCTGCAAGGTATGAAAACAGTGTAATGGCTTTTACTCATTTCTCAGCCTATGTTATGCTATTAGATTGATGATAATTTTTAATGTAGGGTTCCCTATATGTTAAATGAAAACTTCCAAGCTGCTCAGTACAATATAAAGCATTAGTGACCTTACATGATAAACATGGGTGAATGATAGTGCATTTTATAACTACCTTGATATGCCTTCACTTTAAAGCTCTGAGAATTTTAAACATTCATTTTATTCTCAGTATGTGAGGAAAGAATTAGAGAATTGTTTATGGAAAAAAAAAACAAATAAAAAAATATTTATGCCTGGTTAACATACCCATCAGTAGAACTACGGTTCCTTTTTCGTGGAGTGACAGTTGCCATCTTCACCAGAGTGCCTGAAAAAAACACATTTTAAATAGCCTGGAAAAGAAGGCTTAGTAAAGAAGGAAAAGGCAATGAAAGACTGGAAAAAAAAACATTTAATGGAAGCAGTTCAAGTATGACCGAGCGTTATAACTTTTGATAGAATGACAGAGATGAGAATAATTTGGGGTTATGTTTCAGCTGAGTTTAAGCTGTAACAAGGTAGACACAGAGAGGATCCTCTGGTTCATGTCCAGTCCTGTCATTGTGGGCAAACGCACCATTAAAAAGTCCCCTTTCTAAAACCAGAGTCAGAGAACTCAGAAATTAAGTTTTTCCTTTTGGAAAGTTAATTTTAGACCTCACTGCTGTGGTTCCTATAAACATCCTTGCTCTCTGCCTACAAATATTCACAGTCAGCTCATTCCCTGGAGCGTCTTATGTTGACATTTACCTTGAAGTGGAAAGAGCTCATTCCTCATGTTCACACCCAGTGGGCCTAGAGAAAAATCTCTCATCTTGCCAGATGCAATAAAGCAATTATTTAAGCCTTCATTATCAAAGTAGCTTGGCATAAGTGTCGCATGACATTAATTTTTCTGGGGTGCTACTTGTCGTGCAAGAAAGACAACTGAAACAGCCATCTCCAGGGTCCTGTATCGAAGATGACTAATGGTAAGACATTCAAAATGTGCTTGAATAACTTATTTAATAACCTATTCAGAAATCTGCCAGTAGAGGGAGGTTCTCCACAACGTGTGCGTGTTTATGCCGCTTTCGGGAAGCGGTGACCGAGTGACCCGCGAGCGACAAGCTGTTTTGGGCCACAACACAACCCCTTGGCAGGGATTCAAAACCACCAGCTGTGTAACTAGATCAAGGGCTGTACGATTCCCGAACGCAGCAAGGGGGCATTACGAGGAAAGGGGGGCTGCGCGACCGCGCACACGGCCACGGGCGCTGGGAGCACGGAATAAAGAGCCCGGATCGCTAGAGAATGAGATAGCAGACGTGGGAAGAGGTTGAAGGGACTTAAAAGTTTCCCACTGTTAATCTGCAGATGCCATAAGCTGTTCCAGGACAACTCGTAGCTTTGCCCCAAAAACTCCCGCTAATGCCCTGCACAACAAGGGGGTGCCAGACCCTCACGCTGGCACCTGCAAGCGTCCTGCACATCAGTCCCCCAAACAGTCCCCTCTGGACCTGCACCTTGCACAGGTCCTGGGCCACAGCAGCCCACACAGGACACTGCGCTAGGCTCAACCCAGCATCATCCCCCAGGCCCAAATATACCCTGAATCTGGCACTACCCAGCACCCCCTCACCCCACACCAGCCCCGCTCACCCCAGCTCCCCACACA